CAGGGAATTTGGGATTAGCCTATACCTACTCATGGAGGGCAACATGGCTTTGTGATTTCGCACTTTGGACTTGTAGTCGAATGGTTGCGTGTTTGAGACTAGCTTGCGTCATGCTGTTGTATCCTTGAGCAAATCACTTTATCCCAATTATTTTATGGTTAACATGAGATGGACTGGCACCTCATCCATTCTCGCCCGCTTTTGTCGGAGTTCATCACCGGATCGTATGTGCCATCCCGGCATGAGAGGGATTTGACCTGACCTGTACAAGAATTTTCGGATTATTATAATTGTTAGTTGGCAAATTAGCGTTAGATATAATTGCTCATATCCACTAACTGAGAATTTAAGGTTAACATATACTTACTCACACTCATTAACAGGGCAAAAAATATATTACACCGGGTTAACTATAGCGCCTCAAAATTTCGATCTGGTGACTTAAAAAAACACCCAGCAAAATAATAAACTTTTCAATAAGGCCAAGAATCAAGTCAGATCGGTTGGACAGAAATAATGTCAGAAATTAAATAATTTATAGGTATAAATTATTGCAAGTCACTTTAAGACAACATTAACTTATTCTCAATATCCAAAATGTGACTTATTTAAATATGATATAATTCATAAAATTTGTACTGTAATATACCACTCTTCATAGACGTCGTCTTGTTTGCAGTTGCATCAGAGTTAATATTGTTACGTCTCCGTTTGTTAATTAACTTTCCGTAATTTCGTTTCCGACGAAACTTTGACGACACAAGTCTTTACTTAATAAAACTGGTTTATTGTTTCCGAATATAACTTTACGATACACTTAATTTCAATATTCGCGCTAAAACAAACACTATAACGAACGAACGTTAACTTCAACAATACCCTGTGACTGCAGTTCAATTACTCACTGTCTACACACACACTACGTTACATTATTCTCCCGTCACGTTGTCACCCTCTTATATATACCAGCCTACCCCATCTAGCAAACACTAGAGCATTCATGAAGAAACAAGATAGTTCTAGAAACTAGAGGGCGCCACACCAGTCACGTGACCTCGATGACGCAACAATATAAAGTTCTCAACTAGTTCAAAATGTTAGCATCGGCATTAACAACATATGAAATGTGTGTTCACTAGTGGTCCTGGTAGGAATGGGTCATGTAATTTGTGCAAATTCAGTGAGATGTATTTTGGGGTGCGTGTGTTAGCATTAGTTGTTATAACCCATCATAAACCCCGAGATATGGCGTCAATTCTTTTAAAAATTAGATAAGTTCAGAAATGTACCGAAATTACACCAAACACTGTCAAAAAGTAGAATGTTTCTAGCTTTTACGTATTTGTATTTTTGCCCTAGTACCAATATTCTGGATATGCCAATGTATAATAGAGAATTTTTATACTTCATTATTATTACTTTAGTAACTTTTTAGAGCACTGGAAACTTCCACCAACCGATATGTAATGAATTAACAGAAGTATTGATACAATTCTATAAAATTCAGAAATTTTTAGATAAAGATTAATTTGTAATTATGTTTTTAGCACAAAGTTAAACAATGTGCTATCCGCACTCTCTCTATCGTGGAGTGAAACCATGGATTTTTGAGAGTCTGGAAACTTACTGCTGATCCAGCGAAGACATTTAGGTTTGTTTGTTGTTAAGCGCAAAGCTACACAATACACTACTTATTCTCTGCCCACTACGGGTATCGAAATCCGATTTTTAGTGCCATAAGCTTTCAGAATTACCACTGAGCCACTGAGGGACTTTTAATTAAGACCACAAATATTGCAATATCGTCACATTTTGATTAGTAAAGTTCACATATAAAAGTTTTTTCCGTTAGTCTCAATAACATGCATTAAAGTGAAGGCAAAGAAACCAGCAGTACGAACTCGAAACACCTTATTACTTGGTGAATTATCGTAACTCACAACACATGATGATAACTGAATTTACGCGCTGATCAAGTAATGGGTCTATTATGCATTGTCATGGTAGCAAAAAATAAAAAGAATGAGGAAGTTGAATATATTTGATGCGGGAAGCTGAATATTTTTCAAACTGTTGATAGATAAGTGTACCAATTCCTATATGTGTATGTTACTCCCTGGTTCCACATTTAGAACAATCTTATTCTCCCGCACCTAAAAGTGTATCCTAGGCCTCTGAAACTTTTAAATATTTATCAGCTCCTGCTCATTAGGTACCTTTTAATAGTAGCTTCTATTTTAATGTCCGCTTTCCATGCTTGAGCAGCCACCTCATTTGGTTAAAAACATCCAGGTCACTGATTTGTATAGACTTATATATCATGCCCAAGCAATAAAGGCTGTACCACACCCCATTTTAGATGTATGTTCGAGCAAAGTTACTCGAGAGCTATCTGCACTAGCTATCCCTAATTTAGAAGTGATAGACTAGAGAGAAGGCAGCTAGCCAACACCACTAACTCTTGGGCTTCATTGCTTATGCAGTAATTTTTTTCAACTATTGTTATATCTTATTCATTTAGAGGTCATGTTATTTATTCACACTTACACTTAGTACTTACAAAATACAAGAATTGTAGTAAAATAGTCAAGACAAAATTTACATGTCTACATCATGCCATATTTATACTTTGAAAAAAATTGGAATGACATTGGACGAAGACACGAAACCACATTAGTGTTCATTCTAAAGTGGGATTAAGGTGCTCGACTCACGATCGGAGGTCTCGAGTTTGAGTACTGTCACCGAACGAACGTGCTCATCCTTTCAACTGTGGGGATATTATAATATAGCAATGAATCCCACTTTTCGTTAGAAAAGGATCTGTTTTCTTTGTTTTTAAATAAGTAAAAACATTATTGAAAGGCCACCATATTAATTAAAATTTACCACATTGCATTAACAGCTAAAAGCATTAAACACAACTAAAAGAACATTACTGAGGGTTAATCACACTATATAAACCATGTTCCAGGTCCAGTGCTCCATCAACGATTATGCTAACCATGATTGTGTACTATTATCAGATACCACAATTTCCATTGTAACAAGCTTTTGTAGAAAACAGTGAATTCAATCTTAGATCACGCATCTTGACATACTTTCTATATAGTTACACCAAATTTAAGCAAGCCAAATGCACAAAAGTCCATTGGAGTACACTTGAAAACTTCACAAGTATGTGACTGAATGGGATTGCCATGATTCCAGTTTCTTTGGTCATTTTTTGTTTCCATGAAAATAGCTGTTAATTTTGAGGTGTGGCTAGAAGCTTAGAAAGTTTGGATTGTGAACTTTTGTCAGTTTCAAATTCATGTTTATCATCTTGTTGGTGGTACAACAAAATATGTGAAGATTTATTGCAATATACTTTTGGGTCTGAAGGTTCTTTTTTTTAAAACCATAATTCTTACTTTATGGATGAAGGCATTGCTCCAGATGGACTTGAGGAATGGTTTCAAAAAAAAGACTGTGACATATTTCTCCAGTTGGAAGTTTTCCAGACAGCAATGCACTGTTAAGTGGTCAGAAATTTGCCAGGAATCAAATATACATGTGCTATTCCACTGCATTAGTATGTGCAAATTGTTCTAATATATAATTAAACCCCAGTATTTTTTTCTTAATGAAAATATGTTGGTTCTGACAAATCCAAGTTCACAAGGAAGCTGAGAGGAAAAACTTTTAAACATAAATATACGTAGTGTTCATTTAAAGATCAAGTTTAATATCAGGAATTAACAATATTTCCACACTTAATGTTATGAACTAGAGTAATGTAAGAAATAAACTGAAATTATCACACCAATATTTGTTTTAAATAGCATACACTACTCACTTTATTTTTATAATAAACCCAATTTTTAG